GAGAAGCTACCCCATCACCTCTAAGTGCCCCTGCCACTGGTGCATCTGGTGTGGGCAGCCTCTGCCCTTCAGGCAGAGCTTGGACAGGCTCTTCTGACAAGGATCCTGGGCTTTCTGTCTGTGCGCCAGACGGCTCTTAACCACCGGGAGCCGACCACGGTGGAGGTGTGGGTTTGTCTTCCCACAAACTGCACCCCTGAGGAAGGGAGGGATGGTGCCCTCTCCCACACCCTCCAGTCCCGTCTGCAGACGCCTCCAAGATTCACCCACACACACACACACTAACTGCTGCTCCCTGGAACTGCCCCGTGGGTTCCCCAGGCTGCATGGTCGGCAGGTCAAAACCACCAGCGGGGAGAAAGACTGGGCTTTCCACTGTCATGGTCTCAGCTCCACACGGGTCGCTTCGAGCCGGCCGTGGCTTGATGGCAGTGGGTTGGGTGTGGTTCACTCCTTACGGGAGCAGACCGCCTCGCCTCTCGCCTGTGGGGTGGCTGATGGGCTTGAACTGCTGGCCTTGTGGGCAGCCGCCCAATTCATAACCATGATGCCACCAGGGCTTTTCCCACTGCTAAGGCCAGGTCTGGATCCCACCTCAGTCCTGCCCCAGGGAGCCCTTGGGCGTCGTGATTACCCACAGGGCTGCGATCTGCAAAGTCAGAGAAGAGAGCCCCCCTGCTCCCCTAAAGAGTCAGGTCTGGGAAGCCCACAGGGGCAGGCCCCCTGTCCTGCAGGGTCGCTGTGAGTCTGCATCGACTCCGTGGCAGTGGGCTTGGAGCGATCCTGCCCATCCGTGTGGAAGGAGCCCCTCCCAAATGGAAAAAGCCACGGGCATCGGTCCAGGACCGTCGTCATCACGTGAGGGATCCTGGCTGTGAGGGCCACATTTTGGCTGACCACGAATCACTGGAGGAGGTCCCCTGTGTGTCCTCCTCTGCCCCCCCCCCAGGATTCACACAGGCCGTGTCGTGTGGGCAGCGTGGGGGACCCGGGCAGTGCCACTCTCTCCAAGGGTGACCCCCAGCTGCGTGCCTTCTCC